TAATTCTAGAATATAGTCTTAGAAATTTACTCTTATATATTACTAAGATAAGTAAGATTATAATTCTATTTTATAAATTAGACCTTATATTAATTAATATCTTCTAAATAGTTAGTAGTAGCTAGCTTATATACTCTTAACTTTACTTTATATTAAAGGGTTACTTATTAGTATTCTTTAATTTTCTTATTAGATAGTTCTGAGCGTAAAACTAGTATAAGCGATAGCCTAATTAGATTCTTAGAGTAAACTAGTTTATAGTTCTAGATTAGAGGAATAGTAGAGAGATCTAGATTAATTAAGTACTAGATACTCTTATTTTAGGTATAAGAACGGAGCTAGGCAAACTATATTAGCTAGTTATTTCTAGTTTTTAAAAGAATTATAGTTATAATAATACTATTATTATAATCTATAGCGATAGATTATTTAGAGATAGTTAATTAATAATAGAGTAATTAATTCGTTATTTAAAGTCTTAGTAGTATAAAATGCGTAGGGAGAATTATACTACGATCTTATAGCGCTGGGCTTATAACTATTAAAGGCTAGAGAACTTTAAATAAATAGAATATATTAAGAATAATAGACTAATTAATCTACTAATCTAGATTAGTGGATTAGTTAGACTATATACTTATTTAACTAAGTCTAACTCCATTTAATAATCTATGTTAGTCTTTATCTAATCTACTATTCCTCTATCTAATCTTATTAGATAGATTAAAGGATTGGACGGATTATGTAATCTAGGTTAGGTTAGTTACTAACTAACTAATCTATTAGTTCTACGACAGACTCTTATTAGAGATATAAGCTAATTAGCTAATCTTTAATATAATCTAGATAATTAGTATAATACTTAGATTCTTTAGTTAACTAATCTCTAAATAATTTATCTATCTATTACGTCTATAGATACCTAATCTACTACTAGATAGATTCTTCTAGAATCTAGTATAGCTAATATATATAGTAGTAGAATAGCTAGTAGATAGAAAGTAGAGTAGATTATAAGTATAAAGCAGACTACTAGTATAGATAATAAGATAAGTTTAGATTAATCTAATTCCTTAATCTCTCTTCTCTAGCATTATTTCTCTCTTTTTATTCTAGAATCTATTAATTTGCTAACTCTAAGTCTATCGCTAGATAAGTAGACAACTCTATCTCTAAGCTAGCTATAGAATAAGTAGCACTCTTCTTATTCTAATAACTCTTAGAAAAAGGAAGCGATATTAAATCTATCGCGTTAATTTGTATACCTCTACTAGTTATATACTATAAAGAGAAAATATATTATATCTAATCTAAAGTACTCTAAAAGTAAAGACTAAGATAAGGATTAATAAGAGCTATAAGAGATACTCTAGAAATAAAACTAGTATAAAATCCTATATAAGCGGTAGCTAGTAGATTACTTTAGTATTAGGCATTATAGATATCTTCAGCCTTAATTAGATACGCCTTAATTAGATGATTAGTTTTCTAATCTATTAAGTCTCTATTAGCCTTAGATTACATTAGTAGGCTTAATAGTAGTTTCTAGTAAAGTATAATCTTAGAGTTAATTACGCTTAATAAGTAGATTAGATAGATACTAATATGATATAATAAAGTAGGAAGAATTAGTTAACTATTTCTTAGAGTATAACAGAGTGGGTAGACCCTAATTAGAGACGTTAGACTAGTAATAAACTATAATATTCTAATAAAAGAATTAATATCTCTAAGAGTATCTATTAACTATAAAATAATAAGGCAACCTTTAGTCTAAGAAAGTATATCGCAGAACTAATAGGTTAGTTAGTTAGTAACTAATCTAACCTAGATTATATAATCTATCCAATCCTTTAATGTATCTAATAAGATTAGATAGAGGAATAGTAGATTAGATAAAGACTAAGATAGATTACTAAATAAAGTTAGACTTAGTTAAATAAGTATATAGTCTGACTAATCTACTAATTTAGATTAGTAGATTAATCAGTCCATCATTCTTAATACATTCCATTTATTTAATGTTCTCTAGCCTTTAATAAGAGGCTATAATAGATAAGACAAGTATATAAGTATATAGAGAACAATAATATTCTTCTTCTTATAAAGATCTTAAAATTTAATAGAGTAGTAGCTCTTATAGCTATTAATAATAAGTAGTTAATACCTATCTATAGTATGCCTCTTTATATAGATATTAAAGTACTCTAACTATATAAGAGTAAGCTAATTATTTGTCTAGCTATTAGAACTAACTTTAAGAACCTAATTAGTAGATAGATTCTTAAACTAGACGTTAATAAGCATCTTATCTATAAAGATAATGAAAGGTAGTAGCTAGCAATCTAACACGCCTATACCTTAGATTATAGTAACTTACTTCTAGTTATCTAGCTATATCTACTTCTTTTTACTATATTCTCTAGACGCTATAATAACTAGCTATAATAAAATCTTATCTATTATAAAGCTAGTTTTATTAAAGTTATAGATATTATCGTCTATAATACTCTACTTCTACTTTATTATCTTAACTAGATTAAACTAGCGCTAAATAGCTACTAGGTTCTTACAAACAGCTCGCTAGTAATCGTAAAGACAGCTCTAGCGCGTATAGAGCTTAGAGGTTCTCTTAATAAAGTTATTAACCTAGTTCTTACTAATAGAGTTACTCTTCTACTTATATAATAGTTTATTAGCTATTACGCGAATATTAGCCTTTATATAGGTAAATCCTCGCGTAGACTCTTTAAGAATATGTCTAACTATAGCCTTCTCTTCTAGCTTATTAAGACGTTTAGAGTTAGCTTCGTAGTTACGTTAAAAGCGTATTCTAGCGCGTCTACGTTAAGTTGTTCTTTATAGAACATTATAAGTAGAGGTATTACGTCTTTAACTCTAAATACGCTTTGATTAATAATTAGAAAGAGTAAGTTAAAGATCTACTTTAGTATATAAAGTTTAAGTAGTGCGTTGTTAAGATATAACGTATTATAGTATTGACGTTAACGCGTTGGTGCAAAGTGGCGCGCTCGCTTAGGTAGCGCGCTCGCTTATCAACTACGTTATAGAGTATATATAATACTTATTATTAATTATAGTAGTAGTATTTTTAATACTATTAATACTTATATCTATAGATATAGATAAAGTAGCTTTTAGTTATTATAAGAGACTATAAATTAGTTATATAACCTTCTTAACTTACTTCTATAGCTTTAGCTAGCATTTTTAGGCTAAGGCTCTTTTTTTCTCTTTTTAGAGCTATTACTTTCTATAGTAGCCACTATTATCTTTATAGTAGATATAAGGTTCTTTATATATTTAAGTTCTATAGCTTTATAATATTATTTAAGATAGCTTCTCAGTTTATAGTAGATATAGCTACCTTTTTTCTTTTATAATATAATTTAAGTTCTTATACTTTAATATTTATTCTTTATATAAGAGCGTATAGCGCTTATAGTTAAAGTTTAATCTATTATATTATTAGTTAAAGAGAAAGGTTCAGAGTAGACTATTACGTTTTATAAAAGCTAGTTTACTACTTTTAAGTTTTTCTAAGTAACGCGTATTCTATTTATAAAGTACTTATACGTCTTAGTAGCTAGAGGTTTATAGCTAACTTAGTAGTAAAATAGCTTTCTATTTAGTAAGTTCTTTAGATAGTTAATTTTAAGCGCGTTATTAAGAGAGACTAGTCCCGCTTTATAGAACTTTAAGTTAAATACTAATATATAAGAGAGAAACTCTTCTTTATTTTACTCTATTTTATAAAGATATTATAGAGCCTTTTACTTAATTATTTTATCTTAAAAAAATCTATCTAGTTAAGCCTAAAGTCTATTTAGTAATAGTTCTTTTTATTTATCTATTACTACTATAATATAAGCTTAAAGAGTAATAAAGACTTATCTTTTTATAGAAGTAATTATATAGTATACTTAGTATTTCTCTATAGAGTATATAAGATAGTTAGTAAAGAGCTTTACTTATATATAAGTATTTTATTAAGAGTATTCTTTATATATTCTCTTATTAAAGACTTCTACATCTAGAAGTCTTGATTTTTTAAACCTTTATATAGTAGATCTAATAGTAAGTATTAGATTATAGATAAGTAAATAATTATCTCTACTTAGAGTAGTTATAGGCGTCTATATATTACTAATAGAAAGCTAGGTCTAAATTATATCGAGAAAGTTTTTTATCTATTTAAATTCTTAAAATATATTCTAAGCCTATTAAAGCTCTATTATTACGTAGTTAAGGCCTTACTAAAGTTACTTATTACTAGTAAAAAGATTCTTATAAAAAGGTTACATTTAGTAATTTTAGCTATCTAGCTTATTATTTTTTATAAAAACTACTTAGAGTCTATTATTTTATTTTAACTTCCTCTTAGGCGCGAATACTATATCTATAGAGAATATTCTTAATTCTTTATTCTTATATAAAGAAGAGATAAGAGTAGTAGTTTTTCTTCTTATATTATAAGTAAAGAGGCCTTTAAATAAGTTTATATTAGCTTATAGTATAGAAGAAGAAAGATAAGAAGAGTTAAGCTATTATATAATATCTCTCTCTTTATACCTTACTTCTCTACTCTTCGTACGAGTAAGTTCTAACTAAGCGGTGTGATATAAGCACGTGATGTAGGCACGTAATACAATCACGTGCTTTCACTCCACGAGCGCAGCCCATTACATAGATCCCTTTCGGATGTTAGTTCGGTAGATACTCGAACCATTACACTATCTCGTAAAGAGAATCATCTATAGCAAATTCTAAGGAAATTAGATAGCCTAAAAAGGCTGGTAGTTTGGGCTTGATCCTGTTCAAGTCGTCTACGACTTGTATTTTAGATATGTCCTTAAAAACGAACTAGCGCAAATAGTTAAACTCCTCGCTTATGATAGTGTTAATTTTGCTAAAAGCCGTGCGGGTAGTCATCTTGGATGGAAGCACACTAGGGGAGAGGATTTGTTCTGTGGGAGCGAGCGGTACTAAGAATCGATTGTAGAGCGAAAAACAAGCCTATTGCATCCGGTAACGTGAGACAAGTAGTAAGCCTTAAAGTACCCCGGTAGGCTAATGGTAGGCCCTGTTGCTTTCTCTTCATGTTTTATATATACGGCAATTTGACCTCATTTCGTCATTCAACGATTGACCCAAGTTGAGAAACGAGCCGTGCAGCAGTTGCTAATCTAATCTTTCTCTCTTCACAATCCTCTCCGTTGTAAATCTTTCGTCGCTGCACTCCAACGTTCACGATACATCAACATAGTTGAACAATGTAAGATATTTCGTATTCAAATCATGTACACATGTAACGCTAAAAGAATAGGACCAGAGTACCATCACATGATGATGCTCTCACCAACAGACATGCTTAGTGACCACCGCTCGAGTTGGAGTTATCGGCGCACGACCATGGCTTGGTGCCGCCATTCTTATTGTACGAGTCAATAATGCCGACAAGCGAACCATAGGTACCACCAATAAGTAGAAACGTGCCAGACAAAATGACGAAGATGGACCATGCAACCATGCCCTTCCACCTCCAGTCGCGGTTAGACCGATGCCAATTGTCATACAGCCACATGCATCCCATGGGCTGGAAGCTCATGAGGGTGCCAAGGAGTGCGCCGACAAGTGAGACGAGACCACCAAAGACTGGAATTGCGGATGCAATGACGTAGGCAGTCAGGGAGACACCGGCGGTGTAACCGAACCAGGTGATCCAGTGCTTAGCGGTGGGGCGGCTGAGGTGCTCTGTTCCACGCAGGGTGCGGATGAAGAAGTACTTGGCGACGAGCTGTGTGAGGTCAGTACATGGTCCGCAAACAGCAAAGAGAAGAAAGATGACGGAACTTACGTGAGTGACGAGGACGACGGAGGCAAGCAAACCCGGAAGCGCGAGCCCGTAACACACCTTCTTCATCAAGACACCTGCGGATCCCAGCGCAGGCGACGCGACGTACGATCCGCAGTAGTAATATACAACAACGCCGATGGCGATGTAAATGGAGGTCATGACGAACTGACACAGCGATAGAGCCTTGAAATAGTCCTTATGGTCCTTCATCTCGGACACGATGTTGAAGTACGCAGGAATGCCACAGAAGGCGAAGACGATGCTAGACAGAGCAGCCGCGGCCTCAGCGAAGGTGGGCGACTTGAAGAGCTCGAAATCAGACTGCCAGGGGCCGAATTGAGGCGCCGCAGAGGGACGATCCTGGAGGCTGACTGCAACGGTGAGGGTGATGACTGTAGTGGTTAGGGCATATTCTTTGATGCGGAACTGCGGGAATACTCACTAGCTGACATGATACCAGCAAGACCAACCCATGCGATCCAAGAGAGCTTCCCCAAGGTCTTGATTGAAGCAAGTGCAAAGCCCACAAAGCAGGCCACAGCCACGAAGACAGCAGTACATGTGCCATGATCAGACAGTGAGTTCAATCCGATGGAGATGCCCAGCATACCGGAGCCAGCAACGCACGTCCACACTGTTCTCGTCAGTCCACATGGTCAACTCTGGGGTTCTGGAGAACCATGTTTCCATAAGGTAAGGACCCACACAAAGCGAAGGCCAGACCGAGTACCTCTCGACCTGCGCGCCCAAATAGCTTCTGCCCCACATCCTCAATGCCGTACGTCTCGGGGTGACGCATCTTGAATGTGCCGACCATGTATCCAGACCACAGCGTGATCAAGCCAATGGCAATCAGCGAGATGATACCTGGAATGAGGCCCAGGGTATCGAAGGCCGCAGGGATAGACAGCACACCGAGACCGATCTGCGTCTTCATCATGATGATGGACGACCCCCACCAGCTGACCTACTGGGCGTCAATATGGATTGAAGAAGAATCATGACACGGAAACATACGCTGCGGTAGTTGGGTCCTCCCTCGACAACCTCACCAAAGACGGCATCGGTCTGACCCTGGGCGTTAGTGTCCTCGGCCTTGAGCTGGCTACCGCCGTACTCGGTGTCGTCGGCCTTCTTGTCGTTGAAGAAGCCCATGTTGTTCTGATGTCTGATCCGGGGTATCAAGTAAAGATGGCACGCGAGGATGAGGATTGCCTCGAAGGACGACGGTACGCACTTTATGCAGAAATCGTCGGCCCGACCGACATCGGCTGGCACAGACCTAGGAACGATGTGGAGGTCGCCCACGGCGCGCCCGCGCGCGTTGTTTCCCCAGGTACGTAAGTCCCCTTGCAGTGGTGAGCATTGGCGATGGATGGTCAAGACTGGCGAATGAGGCGGGGGCCGCGAAACACCGAGACAAGTGGGTCTGGAGCCGCATTGAGCCGCAAAAATTTGGTGCAGGTACTAGGGGAGCGAGGTTTTGCCGGACTAGGCCCAACACGGCAAATCAAGTCCATTTTTTCGCATCGTCGAATGTCGCCACTGTCAAGCGCCCGCGGATCGCATGTTGAGCGCGTTCGAGAGCACTCTGGGTGAGTATAGGACGTGTTGACATGCCCAAGTGGCGTCGACAAGCTTCACCACCGAGCTGCCCACCACCAGCTGCGTGCAACCACGACGATAACCAACCAAAGCCAGGATCAGAACAGGGACCAAGCATTGCGGACCAAGTGAAATAGACGCTTATCTTTTGTGGATTTCTGGGCTGACGTTGTGGGACGAGGGTCAGTTCAGTCTCGTTCAACAATGTCTTCTGAGATAGCGAATTAAGGGGGATACGTCATTCTGGTTGTAGAGTATTTTCAGATGAATCATGTCAAGATTGATAGTAAGTATACGTGGGTGTGCGTAGAGATAGCAAAAGACAAGTTGTGTGCATATAGGAGGCTGGAGTCGCGTGAAGATGGTGCAATTGAGTGATGAGGACAGCGATATTGTTTCGCTGGTACAACAAGTACGCTTCAGAAGGATGCAGTTCGGATTTCAGAATCATGGGCGCCTCTCATGCGACGTGGTACTTATCGCTACATTTTGGAATTGAAATCGTCCACCATTCGAAGAGAGTCGAGTGCTCGCATGGTAGACGCGGAGAAAATTGCGAAACATGGAGACAGACGTCCGAGCGTATAGTATGCGCGAGGGTAGGCGTATCGACACGAGGTGGACTCGGGAGAAATGCAGGTGGAGAATAAGCCCTCTCCATACGTAACCGCCTTCCTAATACGTCAAAGGGACAGGCAGCTACGCAGTCAACTAGTATGCTGAGTATGCCTTCTGGAAGCATGGCGAAGCATGGCGAGGCATGGCGGAGGCGTGGATGACGCCTGGGCTGACCCGGTGCTGCGGTTGCGACCTGGGGCAGTTTTGCTGTTATGTAAAGAGTCGGAGGATGCCGACTTTCTCAGTCTGGGGATAGAAATCGTCGTTACGTAACATGGCCATGGTACGCATAGTAGCCCCGGAGCCTCAATCTGGGGCAACTGTTCCTGTTAGGTAACATGTCGTGGTACGAGTGCTAGCGTGCAAAACCTCAGTGGGTCCCCGACATACTTACCCTCTTGCCCATCTTTTCCCCCGCTTCTCCGCCATCCACTCCTTCAGCCGGCCGTTGATCCTGCTAACCCACCCCTGTGTACTATTACTCTCCATCTGTGAACTACTATAAGGGGTCGGGGAAAATTACCTAGCTGCAGGTTCTGCGGCTGGTCGACCCGATTCGCTCGACATCGCCCTGGTCGGTGGATTCGGGAAGAATTTCGGCTAGGTCCACAACACGAACGTACATTTATTCTCCCCGGATATATAGACATGACAAGGCAGTATGCTTGGCATGATACCCCTCTGCTACGGTGGAGCGGATTGCTTCCACGGCTCGACAAAGAAACGGAACAAGCGAGCCATGCCATTGGGGAACCTACAGCCAATGCAACCAAAAAGCGCACGCAACCAACATGATACGACGAGAACGCCCCGCACAACCATCGTTTAACTTCCGCTCTTTCTTCGTTGCCTTTCGCCCACTATGTAAAGATATTATGGACTCAATCAACTATCATGCTATTAAGCGCGTTCTTGCTCTACTTCAGGGTTGTCTCTCTTATATCTTGTAAATCCTCTACTCACAGTATCTTCAGACCTTCCTTAGTTTCCTAATCAAGGTCTTATGATTATTCAGCCTATGCTTTGTTAATCGCGAAGTTAAAATAAATTATTAGAAAGCCTTGTCACATATGTATGTAAATAATAACTACTATATATCTTCTTAGATATATCTGAGAAAATCTAAAAGGGGATAAGGGGTTATTCTATGTATTGTTTACCATAAATTCTTTATTAGGGATGCCACCATAGGACTCGCGAGGGTGGTTGGCTATCTCTACTACCAGTGCGGCGTTTTTGTCATGAAAGCTGTATCTAGCAGATAGTGAACGGGAGGATTACTTACGAGTCTGTAGTAGGGAAAACAAATAGTAATATGAGATTAAGATTGACTTGTAGATATAGTATTGCGCAGTGCACTAACGACTTTGAGGCTTGAACGATTGCAGGTGTGAACACTGATTTCATACCTACAACAAAGATGCCTGTAGTATCAGTGAAGCACATAGCAATTAGAACATGACATAGTGTTGTACACTAACTACTTCTTGATAGTCCTCACAAAATTGGTTTTCTTAGTCGTTCGTTTGGAGTATTGTGATATATTGAGATGGATATTGAGGCAAGCTTACCATACCCCTATTTACTAGTCTAACATCATGTATATATAATGTAAGGCGCTCTGTGAGCACGCGTGGTGTCCCCAGCAGAGCCTCTGGAGGGCTGATCTTTCAGTTTGGTTGGCTAGTTTGGCTCCTCTGACTCGCCGCTTTAGGGGATCGGGAGGTGATTCTGGTGTTGACACGTGACTAAGCGTGATCCGAGCACGAATATCTTCATCATCTTGGCACGGCTGCACGGTCAATGAGCACAGAGACTCTGAGAGCCAATCAGATCGTATATGCTGGTGCACGAAAACCTAGTATTTACCATAAAAGGTCTCTGTACTTACTGAAAGCAGAGCATTGAACAAGGGCTACAAAGACGTGCGATGCGAAATGGGCCTAACAGCGCCTAATTTTGTGTGCTCCATGCCGTGACCGGCTAAATCGGCCTGGTTTCACCCTCAGGTTTTCCTACGTCTCAGGGATTGTCGATGCTTATGTTTGAGATCGCAGGAAGCGTTACAAATGCAGGGCAACAATGCGTCGGTTTGCTTGTCTATTCAGGTTTGATTAGTCTTGCACGAACGTGCTGTCAGTGTAAGATTGGGTCGCGATAGGGGTTTGCGTCTATCACGTAAGTAGTAGTATGTACTAAATACTCATTCAAAACATCAATCTGAAAATACAACACGGAGATTTCCCCTTCAGTATGCACATGACATGCCGTTCATCCGGCAATAGTTGTCGACACTTGCCTTGGCAACTACAATGCGCGCGCAACAAGCTTCGTTTTGAGCGAGTTGCTCCGCGATTCAGTGGATCCCTCAGGGCCAAACGTTTTAGATGTGCGTGATGCACTGCCTCAGGAACAACAGCCCTGAGAGCTGCATATCAACACATGGCTCAGCATCGTTAATGCTGCCGCCTTCAAACAGTATAAAGAGGATAGAGACTCCTTTGTCCTACTGATTCTCAAGCCAGTCTTCCAAGTCAATCTTCAGATCTACATTTGTCTATTCTCTCCCGCTGTGCGGATTACTTTCTCTCTACATCACTTTCCTAAACACCAATCCATTAATCATACCCTGAACACCACAATTCGCCAAGATGCAGTTCTCTATCACCGCCGTTCTCTTTGGCCTCGTCGCCATCTCCTCTGCCGCCATCACCGATGTAGAGGGCGTCCGCAATACTCCCCGCAACGTCATCGAGACTCGCCAGGCACCTAACGGCGCGTGCTGTTTCCCCAACCAATCTTTGAAGCAGGACGCTTGCACCGTCAATGGTGCCGCTGGCAAGTGCGTGCCTGGAGGTCCAGCTGCATGTAAGTAACTAAGAGCCCTAGGCGGCATTTCTTCTTTTGAATATTGAGAGGAGACTAACGTATTCTCTACTAGGCAATGGCGCCCTGAACTGCGTTGCAAACGACCAGTTGGTGTGCGACAACAACGTTCCGGAGCGATCTGGCGTCCTGTGCCGCTTCCAGGCGGCCAATGGCAGAATCCAGGATGGTGCTCAACAGATTACTAGCTTGTCCCAGGCCAAGGTCAACTAGATGGAAAGATGTTGGTAGACAAATGTATGTCTGGAGATGACCTGTAAATTTTTTATAGCAAGTCTCAGTTTATAGACAATACGATAACAACTTGCAACTACGCTCCTTTTGCCTTCCACTTGCAAGCAACTGAACACGGCATGGTGGGAAGATTCCGCGCATTGATACTCAGATACGTCACTATGTATACATATGAATCACTCCAGACCGATCAGCAGAGATGATAATCCCACATGGTTGTTCGATAAATGCCACGTCGAGAATACAATCCATATGACTTTTCAGAAGGTGCTGCTGCTGCGAAGCAATTGCACTAGATCTCAATGGTTTCCCAAGTCCCTTCTTACTAGACGTGCTCCCTTTACTGTCTCTTCCATTGCTGTTCTGGGTCATAGTCTGCTGCAGCCGCTCTGAGACTACGACGGTGTCTGGGCTTGGTTGGGAAACAACGTATTGTGGCTTTCCTTCATCAGCTTCGAGGCCGCTGACGATAAGTGAGCAGTCAGCGCGACTGGTATCCCAATACCGAATTTTCCAGTCTGGACCTGCTGTGAGCAGGAACGTGTGTTTCAGGTCGCCCTTGTCATCCGTCGTCTGTGTATGTACTGCAATCGCTCGGATGCCTCGATCTGCCGTGGAACTAGCGGTGGGCTCGACACTTGTAGCAAACCGGCCAAGCATTCCGCCTGGCCTCTCTTCATCAAGATCCAATAATGTCATACTCCTGCTGCCGACATCTTTGCATAAGCCAGTACGATATACTTCTTTGCAAATATGCTTCTCAAAGTCCCAAACAGTTACTTCGGCTTGATCACTTCCACCAGCAATATATAGTCTGGTCTTTTTTGTCTTGGGCAGATATATCTGATACAGTCGGTAAATAGGTGATGCACCGCGGCAAACCCAAGCTTTGAGACGCAGCATGAACCGAAGATCCCAGAGATCGAGCACGCCGTGCGATGTTCCTAACAGCAGCCAGTGCGCTTTTCGATCTATGCAGAAGCAAGTTGGTGTTCCGTGGTCCAGCGGATTTTGGAGAGTGTAGAGCAAGTTCATAGTTCGCAGGTCGAGAGCAATAATCTTCGACGTATTGGTAGTCAAAAGCAGGATAGATCTGCCGTCGCCATTGTAGTGTTCCGACCAGACGGCAAAATCCCCCTTGACCAGCTGGTATTCGCGAAGCAATCGTGGTCGGCCAAATTTGGCGTTGCCATCATGCTCCTGGACATAGTCTATGCGTACCACATGAACACTTCCATCACTACCCGTCGCAACAAAGGAATATGTTTGCTCAACGAAGACAAGACTCGTGACTTTGACATCTTCCCCCAACCTGTATGTCTGTCGAGATCTACGAGTAATGTTGCGCTCGAGACGTGAGGTGTCCCAGATCTTTACAGTCCCATCATCAGATCCACTGATGAAGAAGCCTTGATCAGGCGACACCAATATACGGGTCACTGCGGCAGTGTGCTCACCAAAACTTGCAATCAATGTACCTTCTGGACGCCATGGAGTACCTATAGGTAATCGTTGCGCATCCTTATGTTTGATAGGCTGTCGCTGGGTGGGGGACTGTATCCGGGGACCAAACTCAATCTCATCAGCTGGGAAGCGCTCAAGAAGCATCGAATCCAATAACTTCAATATTGCTGGATCGTTCCCTGTGTAGTTGTGTGCGTTTCGGAAACGTATCTGTAGCGGGCTTCGGTCAAGCCTGTCTACTGCAAGTGGTGATTTCGGCTGTCGGGATCGAGAGGACTCTCGTGCATGGAGTCCATCAACCTTTCCAAGAACATTCGCAGATGTTGTACCAATCTCTGCCAAAGCCTTATTTTCTCCTTTTCCAAGAAGCCCTAGTGCACTTTTGTAATGTCGAAGCCCGGTCGAGGGATCTGTAGATGTGACTGAGCCCGAGGGTGAGGACATTTTCGAAACCTTTAGCGAATTCGTTCGCAATTCAGATCCGGAAGATGGCGAATGTTGATCGCTAGTGTTTGGGTGTATTTTTGACCGAGAAGGAATCGTGATACCTCTCTCTTCGCGGACCAATCGCCCAGCTTGACTTTCGAAACGCGGCATTCGGTCGTTCAGCCCATCGGCCTCTGTAGTGGATGCATCTAAAAGGGCGTCCTTGATTGTGCGAGGTGGCAGCTGTTCTTCTGAAGCATATACCCTTTTAGTATGCTCCATAACCTGACGTACATCCTCATCGAACAGCACGGTCTGCGCCTTCACGCCAAGATCTTTCAGAGTCACGATGCTGTTGAACTTTGTCGTAGGTGTTGAAAGATTGTCAGAGCGTCGGCGATGACTTACTCGCCAAATGAACTCTTTAAGTGCTACCAGCTTGAATTCCTCGTCAGCGTTCATTCCGGCGTTGCGAAGCTTCTGTAACCACAACTCATCCTCCTCATTTTTGGGTAATCGCTGTAAAACCTTCTGATCAAGCTCACGACCTGAAACGGTTGGTAGACTATCATCTGATGATCCGAAAGTAAATGTTTGCTGATGTCTAGCGGCTAGCCAGAAGTGCCCTTTCTGAGCTTGCTGTGCCCAATTGGAAGCCATCTCCAATAGCAGACGTGACATTGGGCTCTTCAATGACTCTAGAATGCGCAATTCTGAGAACTCTGTAGGAAGGACTTTGAGGTACGGCTTGATGAGATTGACCAATATGCTATGCGTGTCAGCCGCCGATAGATATCTCGAAGCAGCAGAGATAAATTCAGCTGCTGCTTCCCGAATCCAGAGGTTTGGATGCATGGTCAGCCTTGCTAAGATATCCACTAGCTCCCATGTCTTAGAACGCTGAAGTAGACCAAGCTCCGCCATTGAGGACAGCGACCTGATGACTTTCTCTATCACAAACTCTTCTGGATCTGTCAATGCCTGAACCATTAGAGGTAGGATATAGCCTTCTAGGCTAGCGCCTCCCACAAACACAGCAACGCCTACGATGCTTTCGAAGAATGCGCATTTGAGCATCCAATCCGGATCATTTAAATAGGTGTTCAGGTGACTAAGAACTACGTCATTTGCTCGGGGACTACCGAAAAAGACACAGAGGTCGGAGACGGACCGAAGCATCGCTCGACGTACAGAAGCATTAGTGTCGGTGAGAAGAGATTTGGTGTGCTTCTCAAAAGCCTCAATTAAGATTCGGCGATCTGAATCGAACTGATTACGAGTCGTCGATGAAGACATGCCATCTTCGGTTTCTGGATCAGCCGTAGCTAGAGAACCTTCTGCACGTAGTGCTTGGATCATATCAAGGTACTTTGCTGCAGTTGTTGCTAGAGTCCCGATGCACAGTGCATACTGCATACGCACGAGGGAGCCGGATTTTCCAAAAGAATCTGGGAGATATGCTTCCAGCCTTGGAAGGACATATTCGGGAAAAATGTAAGCATTGATGGGTGAGACGACCTGTACCATGGCAAGAATCTGGGTCAGGGAGCGCAGCGCAGCAATTTTGACCTGCTCGGACTTGTCGGCTAACAGTTGAGCTACGTACGGTATGACACGGTCAAGCTTGGCTTCGTCTGTCAACCGCTCTGAAAAGGCCAGAAGAAGTTCCAAGCCTCGAACACGAGCTGAGGCTCTTGCGGTACCCCGTAAGCAAGATACGACGATAGTCAGAAAAATCAGGTTGCCATCATCAACGGCTAAGCTTCGTTCTGGTGAAGCCTGATGTTGATAGTTTGGAATGTTCACGAAGAGTGGGAAAAGTTTCGTATTTGGCCCAGGGGGCGAGTACTCGGGCCTGCCTGGCTCTTTTCCTTCCTCACTTGACAGCAGATGAGAGATTTTGTCGTAGTCACTGAAGATCCTGTCTATACGCTCGTCTGGCTCACCAAGATGTTCTGAGCCAGTCGTGACAGGTTTTCGGCCGGAAGAGGGATCGGTAATGGAATACATGTATTGTTGGAGGAAGCCGTAGAAATAGGTAGGGAAGACCTTGCCTTTCCAGTGCGTAAGGTAATCCTCTGCAGTCATCCTGGAATTGGGATCAATCTGAATCATGTGCAGAGTCAATTCGCGTATGTTCCGATCCTGGATCTTGCTGAGATGAGAGTGTTCAGGATCGTATTCGCCTTGTCGATACTTGAACAGCTGACTGAGGGAGAATATGGGTGCTTCAAGAAACAGTTCAGCAATGACGCAGCCTACACTGAAGATGTCCATGGCCCAGTTGACATCGCCTTCACCCTCGGGTTGCTGCCCAGCAGCAAGGAATCTTTCGGGCGCCAGGTAACAAGTCCGACGACCTGAGAGGTCGAAGTAGAAGGAGAAGTCGGCTGGATTGTCTTCTGGCAAATGTGCTGGCTTGTATGAAGAGGAGAAGTCAGCTAGGTACAGCCAGTTCCAGGACGTAACCAGGACGTTTTCAGTCTTGATGTCACCGTGAAAGATGTTTCTGGCATGACAGTCCCTGACAGCGCAGAGAAGCTGGAACGAGAGCCATTTCTTCTCAATTTCCTCCAAGAAAGGTCGGGTGCCATGGAAGAGTCAGCAAGCTTCAGAGGTCATGGCTCGAAGACAAGTTACCTTAGGCGGTCGTACAAAGAGCTATGAATGTATTGGCGAACCAAATAGCCGCAAGATGCAGTCTCGATGACGCGGTGATATGCCAGTGCATTTGGCACGTCGGCAAGCACTTTGCGCTCATCTGAACCCTCGTTAGTTTGCTTGGCCATGGATGAGTAGTTGCGGAGATGACTTACGGAGCAGCCGTTTGACGTGGTCTTGAAAGTCAATATGAGCGTACGGCTTTGGAACTACTCGAGCCACGACAAGGCCGTCCTTGTGGCGTGCCCTGACGGCCTTCATGAATCGGGCTGCACCCAACGACTTTTCATACTGCAGATCTGCGAGCTCCGGTACGTCGATGTTGGCCGAGCCTGCCGAGAGCGTCGACAAGGAGAACCCCTGCCCCATGACTGGAGGGTGGTTCGGAGTTGTGGTGGAGTTGATGGGGTTATTGGTATTTCTGGTGA